AATGTTTGTGAATACGGGCGTGTACGTCTCATTTCGCACATATACATAGGGTGAGGCACATAGCTCGTAGAGACGATGGCCGTTGGGGCAGAAAAGTTCTCGAGTGGCGACCATGGGCTGGAAGACGTAGCGTGGGCAGGCCTCCTACTAGGTGGACCGACGATCTGATGAAGGTCGCGGGAAGAGCCTGGATGCGGGCAGCGCAGGACCGTTAATTGTGGAAAACCTTGGAGGAGGCCTTTGTCCAGCAGTGGACGTCATTCGGCTGAAACGAACGAACGAACGTCTCTTTTGCAATATGAACGCTATGCATGTTTACCTATACATACCGCTACTGTAGTATACACAAACAAATTAGACTATATTTAGAAACATTGTGCAGTTAAAATAAACTCTATTGTTCTTATAGTTACAGTTATAATAATACAAGAAAAAAACAATGTCGTGTGTTCGTTTGACAATATTGTGAATGTTGTGAACTAGTGTTTAGAGGATTGGACTCTAAGGATCATGGGTTTGATTCCCATTAGAGCCATAATTTTGGTGTGGTGGTTATAGAACCACCTGGCTGGCTATAATGGTGTCGATTAGTAACTCTTAAGGTACTGGATTTGATTCCCAGTGGAGTAAAAATTTTAGTTTGGTGGTAGTATAGAACCACCTGGCTGGTTCTAATGTTGTGGACTAGTGACTCTTAAGATCATGGGTTAGATTCCCAGTAGAGCCCCTGGTGGGCTACCACCATTTCACCAAGTTGGTCGCCATAACAACAATGTTAGCAGCATTGCTGTTTTGGCAATTGGCAAGATAGCCAGTTCCCCTGTGGTTGATTCTGGGAGAAACTCGCTTCCACCTTCAACCTAATCGTCAGTTTCCATCAGGTGAGATGCAGGCAAAGAGTTTCCCCGTTGTGGTTAAATTAACATTGTTATCAAGTGGTTACTAGCGCGTTACGTCACACTTTGGCTGCAGTAACCACGTTAGCAATTACCACTAAGTTACGTGCTTTTTAGCAGTGAAGTAACAGCTGATAAATATAGTACCAATCAGTGAAGTTTGCAATTTCAGTTTTTAATGAAAAGTTGTAAATAACTAACCTTTTCTCGCAACTTTCTTTGCTTTGGAATTATTGGTACCTAATTAATGTCAAAATGGACTACTCCCAGTACTCCCACTCTTCCCGTGGATGTCGTAAGAGGCGACTAAGGGACAAATACAAACAACCGACCTCCCCAACCCGTTTGGCCAGCGTGGGGAGTGTAGGACAAATCCTCTTGCCTCTGGTCAATTAGAGGCGTGCTCCTGCAGTGGAGACTAAATGACCTGATGACGATGACCCAATTGACTGCCTACCTATTAGGTATATCATAAGGAACAGCAGCTATAGTTCTAACACTTAACTCAAACAGAGATTTAGGTATGGGACTGGCACGGGAGGGGTGACATTGACATATTATGACGTGACAAAGCATATAACCGCCTCTGTGGTCTAGTGGTAAGACCACCTGCTTCAGACGCAGAGGTCCCGGGTTCGATTCCCAGTGGGGGCAGATTTTTCTGTTCGGTTTGGTTGGTGGTAGGGCTTGTTCTAAGTCCGCCTGGCTAGCTACCACCATCTTACCTAAGTCTGTCGTCATAACAACAATGTTAACAGCATTATTGTGTTCCGGCAGTTAGAGGTAAGATAGCCAGTTCCTCCGTGGTTGAGGATACCGGGTGAAGCTCGCTTCCACCTTCGGCCTGATCGTCACTTACCATCAGGTGAGATACAGGCCAAGAACTTCCTCGTTGTGGATAAAAAAAATATCAATCTGAAGTCTCGCTGACGTTTGACGTGTCAAAAACACCCTCTTATACCTCAGGCATTGAGTGAGTTAAAATATGCGCTAGACCTTAGTATTTACTTCTTGCAAGCGGCACTGCTGCGTTGCACACGATTCTATATTATTTATGTCAATGAAGTACATATTAAGATAAGGTATATTGTGTGATTAGCAGTGTATATCGGGAAGTGATATGTGTAGTAGAAAGTGAGGAAATAATTAATTTTCATTGTAATTTTGTTGGTTAATGATTACATTACGTGGTTTATAGTTGGGTAATATAAATAGGTATAATACATTGCGGAATCTTATGTAAATAAAAATGAATTGCTGTATTTGTGTTGATAAGTGAGTGCCTAAGTGGAGAAAAACTGGATGAATTTGGCTATTTTCTTGCAAATATTATTTAGTGTGAGAAAAGTTATGAAAAGAAAATCGTATTGTATTTAAACTAAAATAAATCTACTATACAGTGTGAGTCACGTTAAAGTGTACATATGAAAAAAGATGAAACTAGACCTATTTTTATCGACAAAAAAGAGGTCAAAAATTTTTTGAGATTTTTTTTTTATTTTTTATAGATTTTTTTTCTTCCAATTACTTATTGTAAAGAAAACATAATAACTTTTAAACTAAGCGGTATATCTTGATACAATAAAAACAGTAACAATGCTAAATAACAGGCAATACTAAAAAAATACATAAAATACACAAAAAGGCCAACAAATAATAAAGAATCATACTTTTTGAAAAAAATCCGCTTAAAAATTCGTGTTTTTTTGGTTATTTGATAAATTTCTCCAAAAAATGGCCCTATAACCGGTAGTTTTTATTACTTTGTATTATTCTCTATCATATTACCTTCGTAAAACGAAAAATCGCATGTCTCTATCCCTATCACAACGTTTGCAATGATCGTTTGAACTAAGCCTCTCCGGGCTCGCCATTCAACGCTTCGTTAACAACAAAACTGAAAATGGCTCTAGATTTGTAATTTTGATAAAGACAAGTTAGATTTCAAATAAAAACAAAAGATTTCGAAGTAAAATAAGCATTTTAGTTAAAATTAAAATTGTCTCTACCTGTAGCGGAGAATAATGTTGTGGCAGGCCTTTGTTCAAACGATCATAGCAAATGTTGTGATAGGGATAGAGACATGCGATTTTTGGTTTTACAAAGATAATACGATAGAAAATAATACAAAGTAATAAAAACCACCGGTTATAGGGGCATTTTTTGGAGAAATTTATAAAATAACCTTTTTTTTCGATGTACATACCCGTGTGGGGTATCAATGGAAAGGTCTTTTAAAATGATATAAAGTTTTCTAAAAAACATTTTTCTTAAAGTGAACGGTTTTTGAGATATCAGCTCTCAAAGTCGTAAAAAGTATGTCCCCCCCCCTCTATTTTTATAACTACGGGGTATAAAATTCTAAAAAAAATAGAGGTGATGCATGCTAATTAACTCTTTCAACGATTTTTGGTTTGATCAAAGTATCTCTTATAGTTTTTGAGATAGGTTGATTTAACTGTAATTTTGGTTAAGTTATTGTGCTTACACTGAAAACGATGGCTGAACCTTATAAGATAGATCAAAAAATATACTACAGTATTGTACACCTTTTAAAATCCGCGATGATATAAAATCTTTATAATGTAGGTCTATAGCCCTACGCCTATAGCACGGAATATTTATAAATACATATATAAAATTAATATTCATACATAAAAGTACAAGGCAAAATATCGGGAGAGTTTAGGCTCCATTCACCAGGTGTATAAATTGACATAATAAGTTTATTATATTTGCTGCTACGGAACCCTTTGTGCGCGAGCCCGACTCGCACTTGGCCGGTTTTAAAGATAAGTATGTAGTATAGATCATAGCTTTTTGAAATTGATGTTTGCCAATGTGGGTATAAAAATACTAAAAATTATCAGTTACAAATATTGGCGATCATTCAAAGTCCTCTTTTTCTGTATCGTTGAAAATATTTCGTATCTAGGCTGATATTTTATCGTGTATAAGGTTATTAAATTGATAACTTTGTCAGTAATTCAATTAGGCATTCCATTAAAGCTTAAAATATACTTTCATACCCGATCGAGCTAACTAACGTACCTCGCTGAATGCGACTCTCCTTTGCACACATCCACAGGGTCCGTGGCCGAGTCCCCTAGTGTTCGACGCACCCGTGGTCGAAGCCCCCAGTCAGTGAAATTTGATGTAAAGCAATTTTTAATGAAATGTAGAGTCAGGCACAAAAATGTTTATAAACGAATAAATATTAATACTGTTTGGAAAAATAAATGTTTATTATATTTTACCGTAGTGATACCTACAAAAAATATTTTGTATGCAGTTTCAATTTATTAAAAGTCTTAGTTATTTATAATTATTTTTATTTTTGGAATAATAACAAAAATAACAATTAATAGGAATTAAATCACATCTTTTACTCTTAATACAACAACAATTAACATGCAAAATCATTGTTTTTTCATTTGTTTTCGTTGACTGTACTTAGTGCAAAAGCCAAAAAAAAATTATATTAAATTTATTTAAATCGGGGGCGTCGACCACAGGTGCGTCGAACACTGGGAGACTCGGCCACGGACACCATCCACACACCTCCCCGCGTTTGCCCCGTCCGTATTAGGGCTATATTTTACCGGGACACCATGGCGGCGCAACCAGTCGCCGGCTACCAACGAAATGTATACAGCTCTATAGAGAATTACTCACCTGGTGTCCGTTTGGTTGCGCAAAGCTCTATACATTTTGTTGGTAGCGGCGACTGGTTTCGCCGCCATGGTGTCCCGGTGAAATATAGCTCTTAGAGCGTCGAAATGACGTCATAGCTGCCAGGTGTGCAGTTAACTTGTCAAAAATTAAAATTTTTGATTGGGCAAACACAAAATAGTGAAAAACAGTCACTGGTTACAACAATCAAAATCAAATCAAAATCAAAAATATTTATTCAGTTTAGACCCCAAGTGGCACTAATCAGCTTTTATTTGGAAGATAGCGTTATATCTATCAAATAACTATCTGAAACATTATCAAGAATTAATAAAATTATCAGGAATCAGTAAAACGAGACCTATAAAATAACAAAGATACAAAATTATAAACAAAATACAACTGCTCTACAACAAATAACTAAAATTACAGAAAAATCTTTAAAAACATAACCCTCCTTCTGGTGCAGTTGGGTAAAAATGACAATCAAAATGCAGTTACCGCGTTCTACCTCCAGTGACAGTGTCGAGTGGTGAAATGAGACAGATATAGTTCAGTGTGCAGTGAGTGCGAAAGAGACAACATGCTGTCGAGAGGTTTCAAGTACCAGCGGCTGGATGATTTGGAGATTGGGTAAGCAACATTTTTCGTATTGGTTTTACCCGCGAATTTGCCCGCGTAGATTTGTTTCGGTATTCAATAGAGTTATAGTGAAAAATCACCCTAAAAACTGTTTAAATCTTTATTTCTTTGTCACCTGTCATCCGCTTGGTATTGGAAGGAAGTCGATCTTTAACTTCGAACTCCTCGTATGTTCTTCTGATTTTTCGTTGCGGGTCCAATGACAGATTAACTTTCCCCCGGGACAAACTTGACCTTTATGAGGTCTTAAGAGAAATGATTTTGCAACAAAATTGTAAGTTTCATGTTACAGAATATTGTATTAAAATTTGTATCTAATGCTACTTATTACTGTAGATAGATTTTGACAGGTTTTAGTCAGTTCGATACTCGGGTGTGGCAAGCGAATTTCCTTAAATATTTGAATGCAGTTTTCTTTCTATTGAAAAATAAAGGAATGTTTTCTTCGAGTAAAATTTTGCAACTACAGTATTAAGAGTACTTTCCCTTCAGATGGCATTACACAATTCCACCCTGTATAGTACTGCTGATGTGATGTCAATTGTATACCAGACAAAGCACTCTACTAACCATAGATAAGTACAGATGCTTATAGATAAGACTGACAGCTGTTATCAATGCCTAACCTAGATAAACCAAGGTTGGCTTTGTCTGTACGATCTCAGGCGATACGCAAGAAATGTCAATTCGTTTATTTGTCTAAAGCCCGGTCCGTGAGCACGTAGAATTTTGTCCAATGACCCCTAGCTACCCATCCTTATCGCTCGCGCGTAATTATATTGCTGTCGCGACTGAGCGACTGACACCCGCAGTAAGTGTGCGAGCGCGATAGCAACATAATTACGCGCGAGCGATAAGGATGGGTAGCTAGGGGTCATTGGACAAAATTCTACGTGCTCACGGACCAGACTATAGGAGTTCGTTCCTTTCAGCCAAATGACGTCCTCTGCTGGACAAAAGCCTCCTCCAAGGATTTCCATAACAACCGGTCCTGCGCTGCCCGCATCCAGGTTCTTTCCGCGATCTTCACCAGATCGTCGGTCCACCTAGTGGCGGACTGTCCACACTACGTGTGCCCGTAAAGCCTGGTCCGTGAGCACGTAGAATTTTGTCCAATGACTCCAAGCTACCCATCCTTATCGCTCGCGCGTAATTATGTTGCTGTCGCGCTCGCACACTCACTGCGGGCGCCCGTCGCACAGTTGCGACAGCAATATAATTACGCGCGAGCGATAAGGATGGGTATCTTGGGGTCATTGGACAGAATTCTACGTGCTCACGGACCAGGCTTTAGACGCAACTCAAGAACTTTTCTGCCCCACCGGCCATCAGCTCTACGAGTTTGATTTTAGCAATTCTGCGGGCTATGTCGGTCATTTTGGTTTTCCTTCGGATCTCCTCATTTCTGATTCGATCACACAGGAAAGATTCTAATTGTAGTGACAATTTCCAGCGCCCTATAAAGGCGTAACAGTTTAGTTGCTAACTTAGATCATCAAATCATCGAATATAAGATGGCATGATTGAAATGAACGATAGTCGTGCCAGTCAATTGAACTAGATTGTGTAATGACATCTGAGAAAAATGGAGCAGTCCATTAAAATTATAGCAAGCATGCGATATGATATTATTGTAACAATCAAATATGTACAGTAATGAAAACTACTTCTACCAAATCTTTGGGTGAGGCCTTTGTCCAGCAGTGGACTTTATTTGGCTGAAACTAACGAAGGAACGAACTCAATATCGCCATCGATTATATAGCCTAGCCTCCATAGCCTCTATGTTGTTTAATTTGATTTAACCGCCTCTGTGGTCTAGTGGTAAGACCACCTGCGTCCGACGCAGAGGTCCCGGGTTCTATTCCCAGAGGGGGCAGATTTTTCTGTTCGGTTTGATTGATGGTAGGTCTTGTTCTCAGTCCGCCTAGCTAGCTACCACCATCTTACCTAAGTCTGTCGTCATAACAACAATGTTAACAGCATTGCTGTGTTCCGGCAGTTAGAGGTAAGATAGCCAATTTCTCCGTGGTTGAGCATTCCGGGTGAAGCTCGCTTCCACCTTCGACCTGATCATCACTTACCATCAGGTGAGATACAGGCCAAGAGCTTCTTCGTTGTGGATAAAAAAAAAGTTGACATGGTTATTTTCGGGCTCGGATCTTTTGGTAATTCAAAGCCAACTGAAAGAGGTCTGAAATATATTTTTACGTGTAAACAGCTTCTATATTTAGCACCCACCCACGCGTATTTGCGAACCTTGAATAGGGCACAGAGGGATCCTGGAACGACTGTGTGGGTGGATTCCACGCCCACTCGTCTGGGTGTAGGGGTGTCAACCACAAGATTCAAATCAAATCAAAAATTGACAGTTTCTTGCGCTGCTTCTTTTCAGCACTGGCCCATGTGTGAAGCAGTGGCAGGGTTAATACTGGGACGTGTAAGTGCTTTTTAAAAGCCTACTTGCAAAGATAAAATGAGTTTTTTTAAATATTTATTCAATTTTGACCAGTATTTAGGCACTTATGAACGTCAAAAATAATAAAAACAGGTAGCCCTTAAGAAGCACTTTACATGTCTCCTTATCTTTTGGGCCCTACCAGCGCTTTGAGACAAACATATGGCAAGTGTTGAGAAGAAACGCACGGACAAACTCGGTCACTTATTAGGGCCCTCGCCCGCGCGGGCGCTGCTGTAGCGCATTAGAAGCGCGATGGCATCACTTCTGTAGTGCGTTGCAAATGCGACTAACGTGCGTTTTTTTTAATAATCGACCTTTGCGTAGGTGACAACCCTATCCCCAAAGTCAGAAAGGCACGAGAAATATTTAATATCGCTCTCGTGGTGACCTCTATTTCTCTAATAGACTTTTCTACTCGCTTGGAATTAATCAGCAAATTCTTGATCGATTTTCTCACGTAGTTCAACCATTTTGGTTCTTTCCAAGAGACAGTTAATGTGTATTTATTTTGTATGTAGTTTAAATGGCTCTGAGATCGTCATCAACATTCATCATTTCAGCCACCGGACGTCCACTGCTGAACATAGGCCTCCCCCAATGATTCCCATATTGCCCGGTTGGTAGAGACCTGCCTCCAGCGCCTTCCTGCTACCTCTATGGTACTAGCGGCCGCCCGCGACTTCGTACGCGTGGTGGATTCCGTTTTACCTCCTTAGGGGTGGAGTTTCGTAAAATCCCGTCTTAGTGAGCACCTACGTTCTAAAAGGAACCCCCATGCAAAATTTGATACTCCTAGCACTTGTAGTTTCTGAGACTTCGCGATGACAGTCAGTCAGTGACCTTTCGCTTTTATAAATATAATCTTTAGCTTGTACTAAAAATACAACAGAATAGCTAAGCAATTAAATTCTAAATATAGAACTCCAATTAAATAATTACAAAACTCTACGGTTTCCACAAACAAAAGAGCCGCAACAATACCGTTTATAATCTGTGCACAACATGGCGTCATTGTTTTGGCGCGCTTTCCAGATTTGGCGGGATATGTCAACATGTGGAACTTGATTAAAATCTGTAATACCAGGTGTTGCAAAACAATATTGTAGCCACAAGGGGAAGCTCTTGGATTGCATCTCACTTTATCGAAGGAAGGGGACTATTCCCACCTCACGTTCCCACCGCTGCAACTCCTGTGTAGCCAGGATCTACAGCTTGACCGCCGATAAAAACCCAACCAGTGAAGGTCAAGTTTGTCCCGTGAAGACGGCAGTGGTAGGGTTAATACTGGGACGTGTAAAAGGGCTTTTTAAAAGCCTACTTGCAAAAATAAAGCAATAATTTACAGTAAAAATAAAGTGAGTTTTTATGGGGGTTTATAAGTTTGAGAAACCATACTAATCGATCAAGGTATAGCCTCAAGGGACAATGCTTCAGATATTATAACGACGTGTCTGACCTCAAGCCGAGGTTCTGACAAAGAATGTAATAATAGTACTTGTTCTGTGAAATGCTGTGTTTGATTAATAATAATCTAGTTTCTGCTCGGAATATTCAAAGACTGTAAATCCTTGAATAGGAGGCTGACAATAGTGACTGAGTTTCTTGCGCTGCTTCTTCTCAGCACTGGCCCATGTATTGTCTCGAAGCAGTGGTAGGATAGCTTTAAGGACGTGTAAAAGAATTGGGGTGTTTCTACTTCTGCAAGAATCACACTGCATTACAAATTGTGTGAAATTGTCAATTTTGATCCAATTGACATAACCTAACCGGTTGGAACTGGTTCACTGCCCAAACTGAGCCGGGCTGTGGATCAAGGTGGATGCCTTTCTCTTTTCACGGGTATTTGTACAGTGATAGAGCTGTATTGGAGCTATATGGAAGCTTTATTACAATGTTTGTAAGTTTGTTCGAAAAATGTAACGTTCTTGTATTACAAAGTGATGTTCAAAACTTTAGAATTTTGTCGAATACGCAAACGATTCGAAGACGAAAGTTGTTCATGCTAGAGTTATACTGTTATGTGCATAGTTGCCTCTTACGATATTCTACAGGGTGGCCCAGAAGAAAGTTCACTTTTGAAAATGTAAGGAAACGAAAACTGAAAATTTTGGTAGAACTTTAACCATTGTAATTTAAAGGAAATTTCATGCAATTTATTTTTAAATTTTCCTTCTTTTTTAAATTTCATCGTACATGTGATTCCCTTGACGTTTACAACATTCAGTCAACATACATAAAAATTGTGGAAAACTTTCGTAAGAATTACCTTGAAATGGATTCAGGATGGATGAATGCTGCAGAGTTTTTGGATTTTTAGAGTATACTCTGCTCATAATGTAACCCCACAAAAAGAAGTCTGCTGGAATAAGATTAGAGCTTCTTAGTGGCAACAAGATTTCACCCCGGCTTAATTGGTTTGTTGCATCGAAAGGATGATTAATTTTTGAGAGCGCTATACTGGCATGCTGAAAAGCTTTTTGATTTCAAAGTGGCAAGATTCGCAAGGCTATGACAGGAGCACTTGGTTTCA